CCGTATTGTCCGAGCCTGGACCGTATAGAGACCGCGCTCGGGGACCGCCCCCTTCGCACCCTTTCCGGTGTCGATAACATGCCACCCTTGCCACATTTTCCGAGCCTGGACCGGCCAGATATGGTGTCGAGAAAATTGCCAAACTTGCTACATTTTCCGAGCCTGGACAGTATAGAAACCGCGCTTAGGGACTACCCCCTGCGCACCCCTATGGTGTCGAGAACACTGCCACGCCTGCCACACTTTCCGAGCCTGGACCGTGTAGATACCGCGCTCAGAGACCACCCCCTGCGCAGCCTGCCACACTTTCCGAGCATGCACCGTATAGAAACCGCGCTCAGAGACCACCCCCTGCGCACCACCTATGGTGTCGAGAAACTTTCCGAGCCTGGACCGTATAGAAACCGCGCTCAGAGACCACCCCCTGCGCACCACCTACGGTGTCGAGAAACTGCCACCCCTGCCACACTTTCTGAGCCTGAACCGTATAGAAACCGCGCTCAGAGACCACCCCTTTGCGCACCTCCTATGGTGTCGAGACACTGCTACCCCCGCGACACTGTCCGAGCCTGGACCGTAAAGAGACCGCGTTCAAAGACCACCTCCGACCCTTGACCGTGTAGAGACCGCGCTCAGAGACCACCCCCTGCGCGCCCCGTATGGTGTCGAGAAAGTGCCGCCTCTGCCACACTTTCCGACCCTGGCACGCATAGGGGCCGCGCTGAGAAAACATCCCCTGCGCACCCCCTATGATGTCGAGAAAGTGCCACGTCTGCCGCGCTCTCCGACCTTGGCACGCGTAGAGGCCGCGCTGAAAGACCACCCCCTGCGCACCCCCTTCTGGCGCCGAGAAAGTGCCACGCCTGCCACGCTCTCCGACCCGACATGCCAGGCGTGCGCTGGCGTTGTATGGTGTGTGTGTGTGTGTGTGTGTGTGTGTGTGTTTGCGCGAATATGTGCATGCGAGGGGCTGTATGTACACGCGTGTCTCATGTACATGCCGTGCATGTGTTGCGCGTGGGTGAGGGAGGAACAATGAGGGGAGGTAAGTGAGACGCGGGTGCGACGCGGCAAGGAAGAAAGCCATAACCCCACGAGACACGTGGGGAAAAGCAACCCAGGACCTGGGGAGTGGGTCGATACCTCTGGGAGTCCACGTCATGAAGACATCACGACGTCGAGGTTCTGGGCTCCCCCTCCTTCGTCGGCTTCGCTCCCTGGCAGGTGAGGTGAAGAACCATTCTTCTGCCGATTGCTGCTGACCTCATCGCTCACGATACGTCCAGGATGCAGCCTCGTTTCATAATTTCCCAGGAGGCGGCCACTCCCAAGCGTCAACGTCCCGAGCTGTTCCCAGCCTCCCTCCCCGCGGAGCGGAACGACTCGCTATCCACTCGCAAGGCATAGCGTGTCGCGGGGGCCGCTGCCAAGACACGCTAATCAAAAGTTCCCGACCGTACCATAGTTAGGAAGGCTTTGGGACGGGGGAGATCGGATGGAGAAACGGGCGGGTCGAGCGGCCAGCGGAGGTGGAGCTGCAGCGCTGCGAGACGGCGAGGGACCTGCGCATGAGCAGGGAGACGTGCTGCCGGAGAGTGGGTGCCGCTCTCTTTCTTTGCTCAGAGAAGGGGGCGTAATTTGAAATTCTTGGGATCCAAATTTTACGAGACGAACCACAACGTAGCGTTATTGCTTCCTTTTCAGGGCAACCCACTGCAATGACGGTCATGCTTTGGCTTATTGGTGGCCAAACCAATACGCGGCGTGCCGACATGAGATACCAACCGGCGAGCCAGCAGAACGTCAAGTACATCACACCGTAGCGCACAAATGACGCAGACGAGCATCGCGAGGAACACCATAATGAAAACCATGAGTACCGTACATAAGCAGTCGCGAAATGATCGTCCAGCAAAGCTTCCAGTTCAGTCTAACTAGCGACTACAATGATGCCGAGACTGCCGATGAACACTGCAGCGGGAATTTGAAAAGCAACTTGAGCAACGGAGAAGCACTGTTGCTGATGAGCACTGCTGGGAATTCGTGAGAATCGTTTTAAGCATTTGTCTTTCCTGGCTGTTAACGTATACTACTGCTTATTCGTGGTCGCTAATAGGCGCTAGTAGGCGCTAAGAGGGACATCGATGAGGGCGCTAGTAGGCGCTAATAGGCGCTAGTAGGGCGGACCCTGGCTTAAGATCAGTCTCGCACATCATACACGTTCCCAAAACGGGCTGGTCAGCGTTCGGATCGGCCGAGCTCCTTCCGGTGATGCCCAGGACGCCGGAGCACTGACCCGATCCACGGGGCCCCCGAGGCGGCAGTTCCTCGGCTGATGGGTCGGGTCTGTGCTCGGGTTGCTCTGGCTGGCACTCCAGCAGGCCCCTTGGAGCCCAGCGCTGGCCTGACTTTTTTTCTGCTCCCTGGCAGATCCTGGGCGGAAAGCACACGCGCACTCCGGAGGTCCTGCCCTTCACCACCCGCCAAACCACCCCGACCCAACCCGAAGGCCCCAATTTGCTCTCCATTCCCTGTGGGGGGGGCCGTCATGGAACGTTGAAAAAAATATATACGTTGAACCCGTATCCCCCCAACCCGAAATCTGGGTCTTCGGGTTGGGTTGGGGTGGTCTGGTAGGTGGCGCCCTACTGCCCCTCTGCCGCATCTTTCCCCCTCCCGAGCAGCCAGGCCCCCGCCCCCACGGGTGAGGTTCTCTGGGCTCCGCGGCCGAGGGCCCGTCGGGGAGCCAGAGCCGACCTCTGGTGCCCAGACAAAAAGTGTCCACGCCGACGGCGTGAAGACAATCAGGCATGATGGCAACGACAATTGCAACATACATGTGGCTCGCCCCCCCTCACCCCCAAACCCAAAGTTGAAGTGTCCATATTTAGTCCCCCGCGCGTTGCCTCGCATCCAACCCCGTCAACTTTGGGTTGGGGGGGACGGGGGTTATATGTATTTGTTCGACGCAGTTCGATGTCGTATCATCTTGCCGTCGCCTGCACGTGGCCCCAGAGCGGTCGGTGGAGCGTGATGGTGACGTAGATGACCCCAGATTCACTACGTACCATACCAAGCCACCCCCACTCGACCCGAAGGCCCTAGACAGCTCCAAGTTTCCGGTTGGGGGATGTGCGTACGGGCTCCATCGTGTTTCCTCAATGTTCTGGAGTGCCCACCCCGCTGGTGACTTCGGGTCGGGTTGGGGTGGTTTGGTGGGTAGCCACAGATCTCCGACAATGTGATTTGTAAATCTGCGCGTTTCCCTTCGATTTCGGCCTCTGGGGTCCGCTGCTTGGCCCCAGCACCATCAAGAATGGGCCCGGAACGGCAAACTGCCCCCAGGGATTGGGTCGGGCCCCCTGGGGCCGCGCATTGAGAACTCACATCGTCGGATGTCTGGGACGATGTTTGGTCTGCCTCCTGGGCGGGGCTTGATATGACGCATGGGATCAGCGCCTGCCCTGAAAAGCCTTGGTACGGACGCCCAGCAGCGATCTCGGGTTTTGGGCTGGCCAGCCCTCGAAAGAAACTGCTCGGTTTCCCGTCATCGGCGTCGGATTGCCATCGCTTCCGCCCTCGTGCGATTTGGGCGCCCCCAGAACGCTCTCGGCGAGGCACAGCTGCTGGAAGGCTGGAAGGCACCCCGAGGTTGAGAAGCCGCCGAGAAGCGACGAAAGCATCCGAACCTCGGGCCTGTCGCCCCCCCCCCCCCCTGAGCCTAGAGTTGTTTTTGTTGTTGCATGGGATCTCCCCCCCTCATCGGTCGCCTCTTCAAAGGGCGCTGGGCCGAAAAGCTGCGCAAGTGGGTCCCGACTTGCGCGACGTCTGGATCTCCTTCCCGGCCTCGCCCTCCAGGGGCCCCAGGCCTCAGGGGTGCCACGGGAGTCGATCTTTGGGCCCTTTTGGGTCGACTCTTTGAGGCCCTCTCGGGAGTGTCTTGGGCTGTCTTGGAGCTTTGTTGGAGGCCTCCTGGAGGCTTCTTGGGCCGCCTTGGGCGGGCGGCGGGCGGAACCCCGAGCAGCGAACATTCCAAAATCTCGCAAAAGCCATGGGGAAGCCGACGTTGGCCCCCTCGGGCTCTCCAGGAGGGCCTCTCGGAGCCCTCTTGGTCCGTCTCGGGGGCCTGGGCGCCGCCCCGGGGCCAGAAGGCGCAGGGAGGGGGGTCTCCGACCCCTCGCCGGTGCGGAAGCCCTCGGCCAGCGGTGCCCCTCGCCCAGCAGGCTCGCGGGCTTCGGTTCCGGGGTGGCCCAATCGAGCGAGAGGGTCCCTGAGATCCGACGTCGCAAACAAAAGTGCAACATCGTATCATATTTTATGGAAGGAAAGCCCCGGGGAGCCGTGTTAAAGGGGGGTTGTCCGGTGGGGTTGTCCGGATCCCCCCTGGGCTGTCCTAGGGGTTGTCCTGGGTAGATCGTCTTGTCGCCATCAATCAACACCAGTTATCTGGGTTGTGCGGGGGCTTGTCAATTTTTGTTGATGTTTTTTTTGATCGGGATGTTCTTCCATTGAACATCGCAGGAACCGGGTGCCGAGCCCGCCCCAGACCCCACCTTTCCTGCGGCAAGAGCCCCGGGGGCCTGGAAAAGGTTGGAGGGCAAAGTCTACCTGCTTCCACAAGGCCCATGTCTCGGGCCTAAGCCACATACCGCTCTGACTTTCTATCCACAAGCGTCTACGGACACCTTCGGGGTGGACGCGTCTATAGACGACGCGGCCATTGCGTTCGGCGCAGCACAAGGTCGGAGAACGGGAACATCCGTCTACGGTATGTTCCTGCGCTAGAGCAGGCCCAACCTGGTACTGTAGGTTCATGCGGCGATGGCGCGCTGGCGACGCCGACAAAGGCGTTCAAGCGGAAGCACCGGTGGACGCGCTGACGCCACCTGACCCGACGGGATTTAACCTGGAACGATCGGGGCCGCGATCGGTTCAAGGTTGAACGATCGACGCGGGGTCCGAAACCTTTTGCGCGCGCCTCGGGCCGACGCCGCACGAACCTACCTGCCGTACTCCAAGACGGGGCGCAGCGGCGCAGTCGCCGGACATGACAGTCATCGCGACGCCAGGCTCTCAGGGGCCCAGACCTCAGGGGGCCTCGGGCTGCCCCGCCGCGGGCGCCGCACCCGCGGGGGCTGCCCGCCAGGGTGGGCACCATGGCGGAGGCCGCTGGGGAGGCGGGCGGCGCAGCTCCTGAGGCCGCCGCCAGGTCTGGGCCTGGGCAGATCGTGCAGCTGGAGGAGTCGGTCATCGGGGGCGGCCAAGAGGGGGGGGGCGATGACAAGGGGAAGGTGGATGTCATGGCCCGGGCCCTGCTGTCTCCCAGATCTCGTTGCGCCCTCTTCTTCTTCTTCTGCTTCTTCTTCTTCTTCTTCTTCTTTTTCTTTCAGTGCGCCCCCTGGCCCCCCCGGGCCGCGCGCATGCCTCGGGCCATGATTTGCGGCCCCCCCCCTCCTCTTGGACGTTCCCATCCGAGGTCATCAACCGCATCGCCGCCGGGGAGGTCGTCGTGCGCCCGGCGAATGCGCTCAAGGTCAGGGATGAGGTCTGAGGTTTTCCGACGTTTTCGTGGGTTCCTGGATGTTGCCCAGCCTTGGGATGCGCTCCAGCAGCTGCGCCTGGCTGCTGGCGTTCTGGGGGTGCCCGAATCGTCCCGAACAGCCGCCGGAGACCCGAGTTATGAGCCGAAAACCAGGGGGCAGTCACGGGGGATAGGCTCAGGATGGGATGCATCGACCCCCAATCGCCCATTCATCGCCGACAGGAGCCCCATAGCCCACCCGTCCGGGAACGTGCCTGTTCGCTATCGGGGGCCTGTCGCCGACCTATTGGCGATGAGCCGCCGATTCCAGCTCGATGTTCGATGTTCCCCCCTGCGAGCCGGTCCACCCTAACGTTGCCCCTCTCAAGGAGTTGATGGAGAACTGCCTCGACGCCGGGAGCCAGCACATCGCCATCACGGTGAAGGGCGGGGGCCTGAAGATGCTGCGGATCGAGGACGACGGCCACGGCATCCGGGCCGCAGACATGCCGATCTTGTGCGAGCGCTTCACCACCTCCAAGCTGCGGAAGTACGAGGACCTCACCAGCATCGGCACTTTCGGATTCCGCGGGGAGGCGCTCGCGTCCATCAGCCACGTCGCGCACGTGACCGTCACGACGATGACGGCCGCGGACTCCGCCGCCCGCGTGGCGCAGTACACGGACGGCAAGCTCACAAGCCCCGTGCGGCCGTGCGCGGGCACCCGCGGCACCACGATCGTCGCGGAGGACTTCTTCTACAACAACCCGACGCGGCGGCAGGCGCTGAGCAAGGAGACCCGCGGCCGCTCGGCCCGCCACAGCCGTGGAGGCTTACAGAGCAAGTCACGGAAGCTTCCGCTCGTCTTGGATTCAATGTATATCGGAGAGGAGAATAGTGCCCAATAGCGCTCACAGAGCGCGACCGATAGTGCCATGTGAGGGATACGCATTCTGTCCGTTTTGCGCGCCATGGGGACGACCAAACGCTTTTGTGAGCTGCTTTCTAAGCGGAGGCCTGGGGAGCGAGCGGCGGGACTCAAGCGTGGCAGATGGACGCTCGATTGCAAGGCCAGGCTGATCTCCCTCGGCCTGCTCTCGTCCTGCCCGGATCGTTGGATGCCAGATTTCTTTGGTCGCGACCGACGAGATCGGTCGCTACCAATCTTGCTTCAAACTCTGGCTTCGGTCGAGACTGATCTGTTTCAGACTCGGTCGCGACTGATCGGACGCGACAGCTCGGCCGCGATCGGCCGCGACCGATTTGGAGTGCCGATCGGTCGTTGCCGATCGCGACCGAAGCAGTATGGTGCGCCCCACACCTCCCTGTCCTCTGACGCCCTGGGTACGGGCGGGCGCGGGCGAAGCAGGGGACCCACGCAGCTCGAGCCGTGGCGGCTGTTGGTCGCGGGGTGCGAGGCGCAAGTTCCCCGTACGCCAAGCCTCCCTGTCCCCCGGGCCACCCTGTGTCAGCCTGCGTGGGCCCCAGTCGGCGTGCCCTTGCGCACTCGTTACGTCGGCGGCCAGGCAGAGTGACTGCGCTGGCAGGAGAGCAGCTGCAGGGTATACACATGCGAACTAAGCCGCAATGCACGGGGGCCCGGCCGCCGCTCCAGCCGCGCCCATTTGGGCCCGGAGGCGGGCCCCGAGGAGGAGGAGGGGGAGGAGGAGGAGGAGGAGGAGGAGGAGGGTGAGGAGGAGGAGGAAGTGTTTTTGTGTTCTTGCGCGCAGGGTGAATCCAGAGACCTGGGTGCCTCGGCCACGGCCCGCCGGCCTATGCCGGGGCGGCCGAGCCGAGAGCGGGCCCTGCAGGACAGCATCGAGCACAACAAGGTCCTGGAGGTCGCCCCGCGTCGGCGCCGCTCCCCCCCCCCCCTGGGCGCCGCTGCCTCGCCTCCCGCCGTGCCCCTCCCGCCTCGCCTCCAGCCGTCTATTCTGCGGCGAGCGAGGGGGGGGGAGGTAGAAGGAGAAGGCCTTCTCCCTCCTCCTCCTCCTCCTCCTCCTCCTCCTCGTCCTGCTCCTCCTCCTCCTCCTCCTCCTCCTCCTCCTCCTCCTCCTCCTCCCTCCTCCCTGCTCCTCCCTGCTCCCTGCTCCCTGCTCCTCCCCCTCCAAGTCCCCCCGTCCTCCTCCCTGCACCTCCTCTCAGCGGCGAGCGAGGGGGTGAACTGAGAAGGAGAAGGCCTTCTCAGAAGGCCGCTGGGCTTCTAAGGAGCCCTCGCGCCTTCTGAGAAGTTTTCTGTGTCTTCGGGGAAGGTTTGGGAAACTTCTCAGAAGGCCGGGGGACTTCCGAGCCTTCTGAGAAGGCCTTCTCCTTCTCATTTCCCCCCTCGCTCGCCGCCGAGTCTAGGCCTCCCATATGGGGTCGGAGCAGGTGGGGTCGGAGGGTCGCACCGCATCGCAGATGCATCGGCGATGCGGCTCGACGTGGGGCCCGATATTTCCTCCGCGCCGGCGTCGCCGATGCACCGCCGACGTCGCCGATGCATCGACGGTGCGGAGCCACATTCCGACCCCATCTGCTCCGACCCAATGTGGGAGGCCTCTAAATTGGCCGTGAGGTTCGACATCGCAAGAAAGTTGAGAAATAGCCGACAATCAGGACCAGAGCCCTGCGGTCGGGAACTTGTGGATGGCGTGTCGCTCCACGGATTCTGGACCCCCACGCTTCGGCGCGACACGCTGTCCACGTCTCGCTTCCCCAGCGCCTAGCGCCTCGGGCCTTCCCCTACCCCCCGCCCCGCGGAGCGGAGCGGAGCGGCACGCTATCCGCTCGCATCGCACAGCGTGTCGCCCGGGCTGTCGCAGCGACACGCTGAGCAAAAGTTCTTGACCGTTAGATCCCATTTTTCTGCGGCATGTTTCGAGGCGGATCGAGCCGCGAGGGTCCCGGGGCCCGAAGTAGGGCGATATCGCCAGGCGTGACAAAATTTTGACGCCATGATCTCGGGGTTTCCCTTTCAGCTGACGCGGCCGTGTCCCCCAGCTCCCCCCTCTCCCCAGACCCCTGACATCATGCTTTCTTCCCACAACGTCCGACCCCTGGAGGTCTCGACACACTCCCTGGGACTTGCTTTTCATCCCGAGTCGTTTTCGGACGGTCCCCCTGAGCCCGACGAGGGCCTCCAGAGGCCCAAAACAGCCACCACCTCCCCGTCGTGCTTTTTCTCGCGACGCGAGGGGGTTCTGCCCCCCTCGGAGGTCATCCAGCGCTACTCGCTGCACTATCCCGCCGTCTCCTTCAGCTGCCGCAAGGCCGGCGGCGCGGTGGCAGAGCTGCACACTCCGGGGCCAGGGGCTCCCGGGGAGCTGCCCTCGACGCGCGACGTGGTCAGCGTGATCTACGGCCAGGTGTGGGGCACAGGGCCCCCCCCACACCCAGACCCCCTCGCGTCGTGAAACCTTGCGACGCGAGTTTTCTTGTTTGGTTTTGTTGTTTTTTTCGTTTTTGCAGTTTTCGGCGGGGGGCTCTCGCCAGGCCCCAGGACCATCAAAAACGGCTCAGGATGAAAAGCTGGTCCAGGGGAATGGATGGAGACCTCCAGGGGTCACGTCGGCGTGAAAAGTCATGAAGTCGGGGGTCTGGGAACGGCGCAGACGTGCCCTGAGATCCTGGCGTCGCAATTTTTTCTCGCCCGGTGATTTCGCCTCATTTCGGTCCTCAGGACCCTCGCAGATCGACCTGGTTCGAAAGATGCAGCAGAAAGACGGGGTCTGGGGCTCCGGTCGTGATTTCTATTGAGCTGCATTTTTGTCGTGACTTTGGATCCAAGGGTAAGGACCCCCTCGCGACGACGTTACCCTGGACTCGGCGGCGGCGCGCAAACGAGGCTCAGAATGCCTCCCGCCCTTCAGCCACGCGTAGAGGCGGGTCGGGGGAGGGGGGAAGGCTTCTTAGAAGCGCGCTGCTTCTTAGAATCAGGCGATCGCAAACATGGATCAAGGGGGTGTGGATTATCGACGGGTCCCGTTTCCATGGGAAATCGCGGATTTCCGCCGCCGACCGAGGCGGCACTGGCCGCGTTTTCGGGAGGTGGCGCGCCAAATCTATGGATCGCTAATCCATGTTTGCGCGCCCCCGACACGCGCAGAGGCGGGTCGGGGGAGGGGGGAAGGCTTCTTAGAAGCACACTGCTTCTTAGAAGGCCCTGGCCTTCTCTATAGATGTGGGGCCGGCGCCTTCTAAGAAGCAGCCTCCTTCTAAGAAGCCTTCATCCCCTCCCCCTACCCCCTTGTGCGCGCCGCCCGCCAAGCCTTGCTGTGAGAAACCTTCTTGGGAGAGCTCTGAGGAGGCGGCCGATGTCTTCAAGACTCCCTTCCTGCGTTCTTTGAAGGCCGTCCCCTCGCCTTGCCCCCCCCCCCTCTGGGCCAAACTCTGCTTAGAGTCTGTCCCTGGGCCGTCGCCGTCCCAGGGTGTATCCTGCACGGTTTTCCGATCCGCGTGCAGCCGGTTCTCCGATCCGCGTCCAGCCGTGGCATCGATCCAGCCGCATCCAGCAGGAGTCGCGGGTGCAAATCCCCACGAACCTGACACCGTACGTGCAGTGCCGATGGTGGCGGTCCGTCTTCTCATCCCACCACCATAAGGGGATGCGACGTCCTTTGAAGACGGGAAGGGTGAGCACGAGTCGGCATCATGGCCGACTCAAAATCACAAGAGGCATCCTTGCCTCACGTCATTGACCGTTCTCATAGGTATTCATGCCATGCGTAGCAGCATGTTCTCCTCGAGGTCCTGACTTTTGCGGGACGCCGACCCCCGGAGGGTTCGACCCGTTTCCCAGGCCCGGCCTTCCACCCCGAGAGTCGTTTTCCGACGGCCTTAGGGCCCAGCGGCGGCTCCCAGAGGCCGAAAAGAGCGAACAGTTGGCCGTCGTGCTTGTTGTCTAGGCGTGGGGGAATCGGGAGGCACCCGCCCCCCGAGCATCGGATAGCCGAATCGGTGGCGTCCGATCGGCACTCCAACTCGGTCGCGACCGATCTCGAAGCGAGTCGATCGCGACCGACACCAGCATTGGAAGCGACATCGGTAGCGACCGATCTACTGGAAGAGTCCAGCATCCAGTGATCAGGGCCCGTGGGGCCTAGAACCCGAGTAGCGGAGTGGCCTGGCAGGGCCCGCGCGCGCGCACGTGCTGGGCCGTGCACGGTCGCGCTCGCACGCGGCGCGGACGCGGATGCACGCGGCCGTTCGCGCGCGCGCCGAAGAGACGATGTGACTCTTGGTCTGTAGCCTGGGCGCCATCGTACGGTAGGTTCGCGTGTCGACCAGCGGCGACCCCTCCGCCTGCGTTCAACGTTGAACGCTGCCGGTCACCCAGAATCGGTCGACGTTGAACGATCTGACGTTTCGGAAACGGCCGATCGCTCAAGGCAGGGCGGTCCCCGCGGTGGCAGAAACCAACGCCGAAGTCGTCACGACATGAACACACCGTACCCGGGCCCACTCGCGTCGTGGAAAAATCACGATGGGCATTCTTTCGCCATTCTCGGTCTTCGGAGGCCTTGGCCGGGCCCCGGGGCCGTGGAAAAGGAGAAGCGGGCCCCGGGGGAAAAGTCAGACCTCCAGGGGTCCACGTTTGGATGGCAAAGTCTATTTGCTTCTCGAAGTTCAATATTTGGGGCATATGCCAAATACCGCTTTCACTTTCTAGCCACAGGCGTCTACAGACACAGTGGGTGTCGTAACGTGTATAGTATAGATACATTCGAAGTGGATGCGTCTACTAACAACGCGACCGATGCATTCGGGGCAGTACAAGGTCGGAGAAAGGGTCGATCCGTCTACGGAATGCTCCTGTTCGAAAGCAGGTCCCACATTGTACTCCAAGTCCACGCTTCGAACAAAAAACACGACGTCGGAGCTCTGGGTCTGGCGCGCCGTAGACGAGCGCTGCGTCACGCGCTGCCGGGTCCGGCGGGCCGCTGCGGAGTTCACTGGCCGACGCCGGACGAGTCTGCGGGGCCTGCCCCCACCAGCCAGGTTCTAATCTGAGGCCCTGAAACTCTCCACAGAGCTGTCGGGAGAAAGCGTCGAAATCGACGACGACGGCGTGGCGAGCCAGGGGGTTACGGGGACGCTGCCCGGTCTCCCCCCTAAAGATGTGTGAACGGACCCTTAGGCTCTCGCGGTCCACCGTCGTCATCGTTGTCGTCGTCGTCGTCGTCGTCGTCGTCGTCGTCGTCGTGGTCGTGGTCGTCGTCGTCGTCGAGGGTAGAGGGCCGGATGCTGAGGTGCTCCTCACAGCCTTCTGTCCTCCAGAGGCCTTCTGAGAGGCCTCCTGGGACCTTCGGGTTCTGCCCAGCCACGAAGAAGAAGAGCAGGGCGAGAACGAGGACGAGGAGGAGGAGGAGGAGGAGGAGGAGGAGGAGGAGGAGGAGGAGGAGGAGGAGAGGACGATGAAGGCCAGGGTCTGTCGCGCTGTCCCGTGTCTTGCTTGCTCCCTTGTTCGTCGCCCTGTGCCCCCGTCCGCTGCTTGGCTCGGTGGCCCTTCGGGCGCACGGCGGGCGTACGCACCGAATTTCGGCTCCTCGCCAGGGGCTGGGGCGGGAGCTGTTCCCGTTCGAGTTCAGCTCTGCGGAGTACAAGTTCTCCTTCAGGGGGCTGGCCACTGGGCCGAACTGGACCTCCAAGAGCGGCACCTTTGTGCTGTTCATCAACAACAGGCTGGTGGAGTGCAGCCCACTCCGGCGCGCGATAGAAAGCGTCTACGCTCCGGTCCTGCCCCGCCACCAGCACCCTTGGGTGTACCTGGCGCTCGAGCTGGACGCCGCGACGCTGGACGTGAACGTGCACCCGACGAAGAACGAGGTCCAGTTCCTGAACGAGGCCAGAGGGGGGGCCCCACCTGCAGCTTCGTCTCACCCATCCCCAGTCCCACTTTGCCATGGTCTCTCAGCCACACCAGCACACCCGCCCAGGGGGGGTTGGCCCCGCGAAGCCCGAAGGCGCAGGCAGGCATCCCCACCTGGTTGGGTAAATCGGCCAGCGGGGCCAGGGCCACGCCACTGGGGATAGGGATCGACTAAGCGATGCTCGCACCTCGCGCGCCTGCCCTCCTGTGAGGCAGGCCGCGGGTCTCCGCAGGCTGCCGCGTCGCGGCCCCGCCCTGGAGGGGCCCGCGCCCTGCCTCTGCGGCAGGCGTGGCGTAATTCGATGTGCGGCGGGGGGCGCCCCCTCAGGGGCAGATCGCGGAGAGCCTGCAGGAGGCGCTGCAGACCCAGCTGCACAAGCAGGGCGGCTCGCGGACATCGGCGGGCGTCGGGGGGCGGGGGGGGTGGCCCTGGCCCGCGCAGGCCCCTGGCTTCTTGAGGAGGGGCACCAAGAGGGGCCTTCAGCAGAGCACTCCCCTCTCGAGACCCAGGGAGTCCCGGGGGACTCCAAGATGGGCCGGCAGGCCAGCGACACGCCGGGCCAGGGCCTTGGCAGCACCCGAGGACGTTTGCCCCCATGCCCGCCCTGAGCGGCAGCGCCCCCGCGGCTGCGGCGCCTGGTGGCGCTGGCGGCCAGCTTGGCGGAGCCGGTGGCGGCGGCGGCGGCGGCGGCCCGCTCGCGGCCACTGCCGGGGCCAGGGAACCGCCGCACGCAGCGGGGGCGCAGAAGCCTGGGCCGAAGAAGGCTCGCGGCCGCGGGGCTGTCTCGGGGACCGATGGGGATCAGACGGAGGGCATGGCAGGTTCGCGCCGCCTGGGCGCGGCGGCGACGCCAGCGCGGTCGTCCAAGGTCGAACGCCCTCGAGGGGGCCCTTCTCGGGCCCTGCGTTCCCACGGCAAGCAGCCCACGGCGCGAGACTGACATGAAAGATGGTGTCGCGATCGTCTGTGAGGTTCTGTGGGTGGAGGTCCTTCAGGGTCGAACAGTTCACGCACGCGGTTTCAGAGCCACCGCCGCAGCTGGCTGCAGCTGGCTGCAGCTGGCTGCAGCTGGCTGCAGCTGGTCGCCGCCGCCGACGGCCGACCCCACTGCTCGCCTCCAGGAGCCGCGGCCGGTCCTTCGTGCGCTTCGTCGTCGTCGTCGTCGTCGTCGTCGTCGTCGTCGTCGTCGTCGTCGTCGTCGTCGTCGTCGTCATTGCTCGCCGCCGCTGCCGCAGCTGACTGCTGCTGCCGCCGTCGCCGCCGCCGCCGCCCACCGCTGCGGCCGTCGCCGCTGCGGCCACCACCGCCGCGACCGCGGGCGCAACTGCCGCCGTCGTCGTCGTCGTCGTCGTCGTCGTCGTCGTCGTCGTCGTCGTCGTCGTCGTCGTCACCTTTGCGAGAGCTGCGTTGTCGCCGGCGGCAGCGGCCAGCCGTCCTCAGCTGGCTGCCCCGCCGACCGCACGCATCGCCTCTGGGAACCGTGGCAGGCCCTGCCCGCGCCCCGCCGTCGTTCGTCGCCGCCGCCGCCCCGCCGCCGTCGTGGTCGTCGCTGCCGCCGCTGTCGCCGCCGCCGCCGCCGTCGTCGTCGTCGCCGCCGTCGCAGCCGCGCCGCCGCCAGTGGACCACCGCCGCTGGCCGCGGCGGCAGCCGCCGCCGCCACATCCGTCTTCGAGGGGCCGCCTTCCGCCAGCCGCGCGCCCAGCCACGGCGAAAGGTGGAGCTGAACCCGGTGCGCGTGCGCACGGACCACAGGCAGCGCTCGCTCGAGTCGCTGCTGCGGGCCGCGCCGGCCGCGGCGGGCGGGGAGGCCGGCGCCGGGCCGATGGACGTGGACGCGGGGCAGGACGGTCGGCGGGCGGAAGCGGGGCCTCCCTCAAATCCTCCTGGCACTGGAGCTGTGTGGGGTTCTGAAGTGGCCCAGCAATGGTTCCGGCCAGCAGGAAGGTTCGAGGTACTGGGTTCGGGAAGGTTTTTCTTGCGTGTTTTGGCCGCCAGGAGCCGTTTTCGGGGTCCAGGACTGAGAAACAGATCCGGGGTGAAAAATTGCACCAGATGGATTCCAGGAGGGGTCCAGGGACCGATTTTGAGAGGATCTGGCTTCGTCCTCCCCTCGTGATCGATTTTCTGGGGTCCCATCCACTTCAGACCTCCTGGCCGCCTCCACCCTGCACTTCTTCTTCCAGGCTCGGCGAGAGGCACAATGTGGTGAAGCGTGGTCGTACAGAGCTGCTTGACGGGCCTGAACCCAATGTGTGGCGCCAGGTTTAGATTCGCACGTTTCGCTGCTTGGGTTCCGGTGGCCTTGGGGCCTGTGAGCGCCACCACGCGCCCACCTCGCGCCCACCCCTTTGTGTGGCGGGGCAGGACGGCCGTCGGACAGAAGCGTTGCCTCCCCTTCCTCCTGCCTCCCTCTGGGGTGGGACGGACCCAGACCCCCTCGCGTCGTGACAAGAATCACGACGGGAGGTTTTTGTTATTTTTGCCCTGTGGGGGCTCTGGCTGGGCCCGGGGACCGTCACAAAACGACCCAGGAGGAAAAGCCGGCCCCGCGGAAGGGGTCGAGACCTCTGGGCGTCCACGTCATGAAGGAAACACGACGTCGGGGGCCCGGGCTTTGGTTCGGACGGACGTAGGGAGGATAGGGCAGGGGGGGGTACGGGATTTGCTGCGTGTAACCAGTCTCGGCCCCGCCGCCAGGCGTTTTTTCCTCGATGTACAGTTATCGTGCTACCAGAAGGAACGCCGAAGCAGGAACGAATGGGCTTCTCTGGCCACGGCACGCCTCGGCCACGAAGGGTATCCTCGACCTAGATCTGAGGGACGGCCCGAAAACCAGAGCCCCTCCTGAGCCCAAAGTGGTCCTTGCTCCAGCACCTTGACTGCACATTGGCGCCTCCGGCGCTGGGGGGCGCTGGAGAAATCGGCCACGTGAGCTGGTTTGCGAACCCCCCTTGAAGACCCCCCCTGTCGCCCGACCAGGCCCTCTTGCCTGCGGCCTGGGGGGTCCCAGCAGGAACTCCTCCTCCCCCTCCTCCTCCCCCTCCTCCCCCTCCTCCTCCTCCCCCTACTCCCTCCCGCCTCCTCCCCCCCTCCTCCCCCTCCTCCTCCCTCCTCCTCCTCTCCTCCTCCTCCTCCTCCTCCTCCTCCTCCTCCTCCCTCCTCCTCCTCCTCCCCTCCTCCTCCTCCTCCTCCTCCTCCTCCTCCTCCTCCTCCTCCTCCTCCCTCCCCCGCCCCCCCAGAGGCAACGTTAAGGAGGGATAGGCTCAGGGGGGTACGCATCGACCCCCGATCGCCCATTCATTCGCCGATTGGGGCCTGATAGCCCACACCGCTCATCAACGTGCGGTTTCGCTGTCGGGGGCCTGTCGCCGATCTATCGCTGGTGTATCGCCGATCCGAGCTCGATGCTTCTCCCTCTGCGCCGGCCTTCCCCTGGGGCTGCTCCTCGCTACCCTGAGGGGATCGCGGTGGCCGCCAGGAGAGGGTCTGTGCCTGCAGGCGAGGCCGTCATCTTCGGCGCGGGGCCTCGCCTGCCGCCCGAGTTTGGCTGGCGCTGGTGCGCGCTAGGCGCAGCAGGGCTGCAGCGCGCCGACCCGTTCCCAGGCCCCTCGCTCGTGAGCCCCTGCAGTCGTTCCCTTTCTCTCTGCGGGGAGTGCTCCCCCTTGGAAGACGAGCGCCCCGTGGTCCTGCGCAGCTCGGGCGGGGGCCCCGTGCTGCAAACGACTTGCTGCTGTGCGGAGGGGCGGCGGCAAGGCAGGATCAGCAGGACCGGAAAGTCAGAGGAAGGGTCCAGCGAGCGCCCCCCCCTTGAGAACGAGCCGCCCTCACTGCGTGCCTTCGAAATGCCGGATAGTGCTGTCGTAGCACCAAGAGCGCTATCCCCGATTTGAAAACAGCCGCCATCTATCCATGCAGCTGTTGCGCAAGGAGTCCCACACGAAGGTTTTGTTTGGTCGAGCAACCGCTCTCCATCCGTGTAACTGCTGGAAGCTCTCAGGACGAATGGGCGCGGCGCTAAGGCGAGAGACACATTTTGAAAGCCAAACCGTCAAATCGTGAAACGATTGGAAGCTTCTAAGACGGGCGTGCGTGGCGCTAACGCGAGAGCCACTTCTTTAAACGGAGGCGCTCTCCCTCCATATCACTACTAGACGCTTTAATGGCGAGTGCGCGCGGCGTCAGGGCGAGAATCATTTTTTGAGAACGCCCCCCCTCCATCCGTGGAAGTGTTGGAAGCGTTGAGGGCGAATGTGCGCGGCGCTAAGGCGAGAGCCACATTTTGACCCACCCTTTCCTCCCGTGTAAAAGTGGAAGTTTTTCTCAGACGGATGTGCGCGACCGTAAGGCGAGAAACACATTGTGGCCTACCCGCCATCCATGTAGCTGTTGCCAACGCTTCGGAGTCACATGCGGGGCGGAAGTCCCAGGCGAAATGCCCAGCCCGCCCAACCGAGACATATGGTGGTCAGTCGAACCTGGGTTATCTATAAAGAAGGGGATGGAGGATCGTACATGGACAACAAGATGGACCTGCGGCGCCAGATTCTCCCCCAGAAGCCCTAAATATTGAGGGTGCGGCGATGGAGGGGGCTTGAGTGAACAGAACTATTCGACCGTCGAAACCACCGTTCATACAGAAAGCAACATTGAGTTCGGAAGCCTGGGGGGCAGAATCCTTCTCAAATGTGTTAGGTTTCGAATATATGTTCCATCGAACATGAGGAGGAAGAGCTGGAGGAGGAGGAGAAGAAGGATGGGGAGGAGGAGCATGAGCAGGAAACGGATGAGGAGGAGGAGCAGGAGCAGGAGCAGGAACAGGAGGAGGAGGAGGCGGAGGAGGAAGAGGAGGAGGAGGAGGCGAAGGAGGAGGAGAAGGAGGAAGAGGAGTCGGAGGAGGAAGAGGAGGAGGAGGAGGAGGAGCAGGAGGAAGAGGAGGAGGAGAGGAGGAGGAGGAGGAGGAGGGGAGGAGGAGGGGAGGAGGAGGAGGAGGAGGAGGAGGAGGAGGAGGAGGAGGAGGCAGGAGCAGGAGAGGGAGCAGGAGCAGGAGAGGGGAGGAGGAGAGAGGAGAGGGAAGGAGGGAGGAGGAGGAGAAGCGATCGTAGTATGCGGAGGCGGCCCACAGCAGGCGGAGGAGAAGCCAAGGGTGGGCTGGGTGGGTTTCGGGGTGTGGGCGGCAGCCGCCGATCGGACAGCTGCGGGGGGCGTGCTGGGTAGGTCTTCCGTCTCAGCCTGGATCGCGTCATTTTCTCCTCCCCCGCCTCCCTTCCCCTCCCCCTTCCTTCTGCTGGTGACTCTTCTGCTTCTGCTGCTCCTCCTACTACCAATTTAGCTTTCAGGGCGTCCCGTTCGTAGCCCGACTGGCGCCTGCACCTGCTTCGGCTCGCTTGCGCCCGATGACTTGAAAAACTCTTCCTAGTCGTCCTCGTCCCTCGCCCTTCCTCCTCTCTTCCTCCGGTCGTCGTCGTCCTCCTCCTCCACCTCCTCGGCCTCCTTCTGGATGTCATGCTGGCAACCATGAGCTCACATCCATTGCCTTGTATGTCGATGCTGTTTCTATCTGCGTTTCGCATTGTTGAGATCAAACGACCGTGCCGTGCACGTCGTGCCGCCCGTAAATTGGTTCGTGGTCGCTTTCTTGAGCCTTGAGCCCGCCCGCAGGCAGTCCCCCCCCCAGAGCTTTTGTTCTCGCTGCATGGTTGCAAGGCTGACGAATTTGCCCTTGGTGGCGAGCACTTCTCTCCCTGCTCCCTTTCGCCTCCTCCTTTCACTCCTGTTCCGTCCTTCTTCCGCTCCTTCCCTTTGTGTTCGGCAGCACGTTGTGGAGCATCGTCGCGGTCCAAGAGTGCAAGCGCCGGAAGACAGGGGAGAGACAGGTGCCCGCTGGCGTGCCCAGAGGGGTCTCAAGAGGCGAGGGGACGTGGCCTTGCCGGGGCGCACCCCAGAGGCGGCTTCACCCGAGCCTCGCAAAGAACCCTTGAGGAGGGGAATGACCCCAGACCCCCGACGTCGCGATTTTTTCGCAGCGTCGACCCCTGGAGGTCTCGACCCATTCCCCTCGGACCGGTTTTTCATCCTGATCTGATTTTCTTCATAAAATCCTGGGACCCTGGGGGGGCCGCCCATTGCCGAAAATAGCAAAAAGCCTCCTCCTCCTCCTTCTCCTCCCCTTTTTCCCAACCCTCCTGTGTTGGGTCCTCGTTTTGAATAGAGCAGCTGCGGTCGCGACTCCTCTCCTCTCCTCTCTCCCGTGCTTGCTTGCTGCGTTGCTGCGTGCCAGCTGCGTGTTGCTTCTCGCTCGTTGCTGCGTGCCAGCTTGCTTCTGCGATCTGCGGAACTGTCGCCACTTTCGAGGGCTGCTGGGGGGCCCAGCGGAGTGGGGTCATACGTAGATTCGGATTAGACCTCGCCGTCCCTGGGGGGCTGCGATCTGCGAAACTGTCGCCACTTTCGAGGGCCGCTGGGGGACCCAGCGGAGTGGGGTCATACGCAGATTCAGATTAGACCTCGCCATTCCTGGGGGGGCTGCGACCTGCGAAACTGTCACCACTTTCGAGGGCTGCTGGGGGGCCCAGCGGAGTGGGGTCATGCGCAGATTCAGATTAGACCTCGCCATCCCTGGGGGGCTGCAACCTGCGAACCTGTCACCACTTTCGATGGCTGCTGGGGGGCCCAGCAGAGTGGGGTCATACGCATATTCAGATTAGACCTCGCCATCACTGGGGAGCTGCGACCTGCGAAACTGTCACCACTTTCGAGGGCTGCTGGGGGGCCCATGCTGAAGTCCTGATGTCCACGACCTGCCAGGGCCGCACCATGCACCGCGGTGCCATCATCGACGCTGGGTGCAAGGATGAGAAGAATATGGACGACCTCTGGCTGCAACTCTATGTGATGCTGTCCAGGGCAACGACCGTGGACAACCTGCTGATGATACGCGACCCTGGACTGGATTTCCTCGCCCGCGGGCCGCCCGCGGACTTAGTGGCGTGCCTTCGTGCGTTTAGCTCGCGCATTGAAAAGTGCAGGAAGGAGGCAGAGAAACTGGCGGGCGAGCTAGGCCTCGCTCGCTTCCCGCACTAACTAAAAGCTGGTTCAACCCCTTTTTTCGGGCGCCGCGTCGACATGGCAGCGCTGTGCCTTCAGCGGACCACCGACACAAAGACACACCTTTCTTTCTTCTGCCTTCGCTTTCGTCCTAGTCTTCCTCCTGCCACCTTCCCTCTGCTCCTGCTGCGCTGACGGCTCGGCCCCATGCGCTGACGGTTCGGCCCCCTGCGCGTCCTTCTCTCGCTCTTCGTTCTCACCCCCATGTCCTTTTCGAGCCTGTGGCTCTCGCGTGTCGCTCTTGCGTGGTTGTCCTGCACCCCGTGCCACGTGCGCGTGTCCCACGTAGCTTTCATGCCATACAACGGTGCCTGCACTTTGATCGTCCCGCACAAATGTTAACCAATTCGTCTTGTCCCTTGGTACAAATGGGTTGGCTACGTCGCAGGGGAATTCTTATGAATAGCTCCTCCTTGCTGCGCCCCAAGGTCAGTCCGAAGGGCGGGCCGGGCGTTTCTCCTGAGAATTCCGTACCATGTATGAGCCTGTGGTGTGAAAAGTGACAACAGCTTCACATATGGAGGGCGGGTGTCTTCACATATGGAGGGCGGCTGGTTTTCTAAATGTGGTTCTCGCCTTGGTGCCGCACCTATTCGTCTTAAACAACTGCAGCAGTTTCGCGGATGGGGGGCGGGTCGTTCTCAATATGTGGTTCTCGCCTTACCGCCGCGGTCATTCGTTGGCAAGCAATTTCGACAATTTCACTGATTGAGGGCGGGTCGTTTTCAAAATGTGACTCTCGCCTTCGCACCGTGCGCATTCTTATACAAACCGTTGCAACCAACAATGGTGCCTTGGAACGATCCAGGATTATCAGGGCGCAACAGTTGCGTTTATTCGCGGTGTTCAACTCCCAGGAATGGTGTTCTGGCACGGTTCAGGATTGTCAATACGCAACAGTCAGGTTGGCTCGTGGCATTGAAGTCATTAGAACGGTATTTGGCACGCGTCAGGATCTTAAACCGGTTGTCCCCTAACGGGGTATTTCCATCACTGGAAATGAATCCTTGTAGGGGCCTATGAACAGAGAGTTTGGAGGGAAGGTGTATTCCAAGATCGTTGATGAACCTTGGGCTAAAACCGGTCCTCCTCCTCCTCCTCCGCCGTCGGACGCGGCCGTAGTGGCGCCTGCGGAGGACCGCGCCGCCATCTTCGAGGAGGCACAGAACCTCGCCTCCATCCAGGAGCTGAGGGCCGCGGTGGCCGTGGCTGCCTCCGCGGACGGGGTCCTCTCCCAGAGGTCGGACGCAGGGGGGGACGCCAACCACAGACCCCGGCGGCCCCGATGTGTGTTCGATGTTCGAGGTTTTCAGACGTTTTTGTCGGTGATCGGCGGGTGTTCAGCCTCAGGATGCTCTCCAGCAGCTGCGCCTTGCCGACAGCGTTGCGGGGGTGCCCGGATCGTCCCGATCCCTCGCGCTGTGAAAAATTCGCGGCGACAGTTTTTTCCTATTCTCGGCCTTTGGGGGGTCTCGCTGTGCGCCGTGGCCGTCACGCAACGCCTCGTGGTGACCGTTGACTGGGTCGAGACCTTTGGGGATCGACGTAAAAAATCATTGCGTCGTTGACTGTTCCTCCATCTCCCTGCCTCGTGCTTCCGCACCTGCTCATTCTCCTGCTCCTCAGACTCCTGCCGCCTCCTCCCACTCCTCGCCCTTCTTCCTCCTCCTCCTCCTCTTCCTCCTCCTCCTCCTCCTCCTCCTCTTCTCCCCTCTTCTTTGCCTCCCCCTCCCTGCTCCTCCTGCTCCTCCTGCTCCTCCTCCTCCTCCTCCTTGTTTTCCCCAGGCCTCCAACGTATAGAACAGTCAATGCGTTTTTTGGTGGTTGTTTTGCTGTTCTCTGATGGTTAGCTTTTCGTAATCGAGCCTGCACCGTCAGGGGACCATTTTTCGGGCTCTCGCGAGATCGAGGGTCGGGGTCTGCACGGGCCAGGAGCCCTCCACCGCCGATGCCAAAACTGCGAAAGAGCCCCAGCTTTTGTCCCAGTAAGTCTACGGGGGTGTGAGGTCCCCCTCCCCCAATCCCCACTCACCCGTGTGGGGGCGGCCAGGGCGGGACGGGCCGCGCTCCTGCGCGTGGGGTGGTGGTGGTGGTGGTGGTGGTGGTGGTGGTGGTGGTGGTGGTGGTGTTGGTGTTGGTGTTGTTGTTGTTGTTGTTGTTGTTGTTGTTGGTGGTGGTGGTGGTGGTGGTGGTGGTGGTGGTGGTGGTGGTGGTGGTTGTGTGTGTGTGTGTGTGTGTAAGTGTAAGTGTAAGTGTGTGTGTGTGTGTGTGTGCGTGTGTGTGTGTGTGTGTGTGTGTGTGTGTGTGTGTGTGGGTGTGTGTTTGTGGGGGGCGTCAGGGCTTTTTGTGGGTTCAGAGAGGATTGGCGTGTGGGGTTGGGTCTCGTGCTTCGAGCTGCAGCTAACATTGATAGTCAGGATGAGCGACTTCCCAAGGGGACCCTTGCATCCTTGCCTCTTCGGTCATCTTCGGTCCATCCTCAACTACTTTGGATGGCCAGCCCCGCTTGAAAAGCTTCGCCATGGGCGTCCAATGCTGTTGCATCCCTATCGCGTATCCTGATTATCAGTTGGACTGTAGTGTGTTCGCGTCTCGCACTTAGGGTTAATGTTAGGGTGGTAGGGTTGGGGTAGTACGATTTGGGTTGGTTCCTAGGGTAGGGGTTCGGGGCTTGTTAGGATGCTGTTCGAGTTCCGGTTCTATGTTGATGGTTAGTGCTTAGGGTCAGGGTCTAGGCTCACGTTTTTTAATGGTAGGGCTTGGTGCTTAGGCCCATGCGTAGGGTTCAGGTGTTTTTGGGTTGGGCGTGTTAGGGTTTTGTGTTTTTGGGCTTAGGATTCGGTTCGGGCTTTAGGGTTAAGGTCCTGGTTTAAGATTCGGGTGCCAGGTTCATGCTTTGGGTGTTAGGGCCAGGGACAGTGCTTTGGTTTAGGGCCTAGGTGTTAGGGTCATGGTATTATGGCTGGGTGTTGGTGTTCGAATTTTAGGGTTCGGGTTGGGGCTTGAGGTCAAGTTTGAGCTCGTGGGTTCGGCTTTTGGCGTGTGGGTTTAGGCTGTAGGGTTTCGGGTATTGGGGTCAGGGCTATTCTTTAGGGTTTTGGTGTCAGGGTCGGGTTAGAGGGTTAGGGTGTTCGCGTTCGGGTATTCAGGCTTGAAAGGGAGGGAGGAGGCCCTCCCCCTGGAAAGGCGGAGGGGGTCGCTGACGACGAATCAGAATCCGGGGGGGGCCCAGACGGCGAACATCAGGAGGGAGAGAGAGCACCAGTGACACGCTGCCTGCCTGTCAGCGTGTCACTCCCTCTTTTCTGTCCGAGGGCCCGGCGATCCTTCAGCAGCAGGCATGGCGATTGGCTCCCCACGGCGGCGTGCCGTGGATCCTGTCTGTGCTTTCCGCACAGGGGGGGGGGGGCACCGGGGGGAGGCGGGGGCGGTGTCCCACCCTCTCTTTCCCCTCCTTTGGGGCAGCCGGCGCGACGCGCCCTCCAAAGCTGCGACGCGCCCTCCCTCGCGGGCCGTCGCTGGAAGGTCCTCCTCAAATCGCGTGGGCGAGTGCTGCAAGCGCCCAGGCAGATATCTGGGCGCCCTGGAAGCACGTCGCGCCAGAGGCCCTTTCGCAATTTCGGCTTCCAGGGGCCCGTTTTGAGCTCCAGGGCGTCGTCAGTCAAAGAGCGACCCAGGACGACAAGCTGGCCCCCAGGAGAGGCTCGAGAGTGTTTCTGGGCCCGTGTGTTGGGAAGAAAGCATCAGGGCATCGGAGGTCTGGGGTGTCGCCAGCATCCATCAGGGGCAGCATTCGGGTGGATTGGCTCAGCGGAGGATGCATCGACCCCCAGCTGCCCATAGAGCGCGTATAGGGGCCCGATAGCTCCACCTCGCCCTGGAGCGTGCGGATTCATAATCGGGGGCCTGTCGCCGATCTATCAGCGATGTATCGCCGATTCTAGCTCGATGCTTCCCCCCCTTTGGTTGTCCCTCAACCCAGGGGGTCCCGCCGCGTTTTTTCGAGCGGGCTTTGGCGTTGGCGGATCGCTCGCCGCGTTTTCTCGAGCGGGCTTTGGCGTTGGCGGATCGCTGGTGGCTCCCTCCGAGGCTCAACACCTCCGTGTACGTGGGGCCAGTCGATCACGAGCTCGTGCTACTGCAGTGCGGCTCCGCCCTGTGCCTGGTGAACCTCGTGGCCGTCGCGCGCGAGTTCGCCTACCAGCGGCTGCTGCGGCTCTTCGGCGGGCCCGGCTGCATCAGCCTGAAGAGGCCGCTACCGCTGCAGGAGACGCTCAGGCTGGGCGTCCTCGACCCGGAGTCGGGCTACGACCCGGCCGTGCACGCCGCCGTCGACGTCGACAAGCTCGCGGCGCGCCTCGCGGGAGTCCTGGAGGCCAAGGCGGAGCTGCTCTCCGAGTACTTCATGCTGGAGCTGTGCGACGGCTCCCTGCTCAGCGTGCCGAACGCCCTCGGGCTGACGTCCGAGGCCGGCCTCAGCTTCGAGGGTCTGCCCCTCTTCCTGCTGCGGCTGGCCGCCGAGGTGCAGTGGGTGGAGGCGATCGGGCGACGAGATCTGTACACATCCACCGCCCATGGCCAGGCCCATCCCAGGAGCCCTGCATACCGCCCCTGCCCCCCCCCACTGGGAGGCATGGGCAAGGCTCCTGGGCCCAGGAGGGGGCCTGGCCGGGGGCGGGTCTCCTCGCCCGGCGAGGAGAAGAGCTGCCTGAACCAGCTGTGCCGCATGGTGGCCGACTTCTGTGTCGAGATGCTCGCCCCCGGCAGGGAGGAGGCCGAGGCGGCGCAGGGCTGCTCCAAGGCGGACATGGCCGCTGGCGTCAACGCCGAGATGGAGGCGGGCGGGTTCGAGGACGTGGTGCAGGCAGCTGGGCGTCAACTGTAGACCCGCACCGCTTCTGGGTAGGCCGATCCTGGACCCAGTATCGGCGGATGTGCTTTCCTGCCGAAGTCAGGAGGGCGTATACTATACACCGATCTTGGGCCCAGGATGAGCCCGGCCAGGATCGGTGTAGGTGTACTCTGTGGACTGATTGAGATCCAACGTCTCGGAAAAGATGCAGCATCGCGAGAAATCACGACCAACGCCCTCGACACCATCATTCCTCGGCATTTTTCGAGCCTGATCGATCTGTGAGGGTCCCGGGGCCCGAACCCAGGCGAAACCGCACAGTGTGAAAAAAATGCATCGCCCAGATCTCAGGGAATACGTAGTTGTCTTCTTCTAGGCAGCCATGGCTGCTAAACGCAAGCGCCAGCGGACGGGCACCAACAAGCCGCTGGAACAGCTGCAGTGGCTCCACGAGGCCGTGCGGCGCGACTCGTCGTGCCAGTGGCCCGCCGCGCTCGCGAGGGACGGCACGGTGTTGGAACTCGTGGCCCTGGAGCAGCTCTATCGCGTCTTCGAGCGCTGTTGATCTGCGACCACCTGCGAACCCTACACCTGCGAGTCCAATCGATGCTGAGGTATCCCAACCCCCCCCCCGCTGGGGTTCACTTAAGGGCAGGCATCCTTTAGATTCTGACCCCCAGCCGCGTTTCCAGAAGCCTGACCTGCAGGGGTAGGGTTCACAAGTGGTTCCATGGCTGAGCCGAGACCCCGCAGTGTGCCCCGCGGTTCGCGCGCGCGCGAGCCGCCGGGCGGAGGTCGAGGTTGCGGGGATGCCCCTGGGGGTCGGCCTGAGGGTCGGACGGCGGCGGTGCCGCCCAGGGCGCGGCGGCGCGGTGGGGCCGCTCTGCCGCGCCGAGCGGGCGGCGCCGCCCCCCCGCGCGGGGTGTGCGCGGGGTCCGGGCCGTGCTGGTCGCCCCGCTCGGAGAAACGCCGCCGCCGCCGCCGTCGTCGTCGCCGTCGTCGTCGTCGTCGTCGTCGTCGTCGTCGTCGTCGTCGTCGTCGTCGTCGTCGTCTTCGTCGTCGTCGTCGTCGTCTTCGTCGTCGTCGTCGTCGCCTGTCGTCGTCGTCGTCGTCGTCGTCGTCGTCGTCGTCGTCGTCTGTCGCCTGACGTTTCTGTCTGCTGTCTCGGTGTGTCGCCGTCGCCCTCCCTCTCTCCGTTGCTCCTCCTTCTCGTCTTTCTCGTCCTCCTCCTCCTCCTCCTCCTCCTCGTCCTCCTCCTCCCCCTCTTCCTCCACCACCTCCTCCCACTCCCACTCCCCCTCTCTCTCCATCCCCCCCTCCCCCTCTCCTCGTCATCGTCCTCGACGTTGGCCTCTGCGCCGTTGCCGTCGCCGTCGCCGTCGCCGTCGCCGTCGCCGTCGCCGTCGCCGTCGCCGTCGCCGTCGCCGTCGCCGTCGCCGTCGCCGTCGCCGTCGTCGTCGTCGTCGTCGTCGTCGTCGTCGTCGTCGTCGTCGTCGTCGTCGTCGTCCGCCGCCTCCTCCAGCGCAGATTCTCGTTGACCGTGCTTGGTCGTTCCGCCACCCATCCCTGATACGTATTTTAGTTGCGCATGACTTTGCAGGCTGTTTCTTTGGAGCATGTGTTTATCCTGTCGGAGCGTTTTCGGTCGGTCGAAATGGCGCTCCCGCCTCAGCCTCTGCCATATGCGTCTCATGAGTGCTATAACGCGCGCTCTCTCTCTCTCTCTGTCTCGCGCTTTCTTTCTTTCTTTCATTCTCTCTCTCTCTCTCTCTTCCTCGCCCTCTCTCTCTTTCTCTTTTTCCCGGTAGGGGGTCGGGCCCAGGGCTCTCTTTCAGTTTGCGGGCCAAAGGCGCTCCACCAAAAGGGTGTCGAGCAGCAGGAGTCGGAATCGGACGCGTAAAAATACGTGTGCGGAGGGGGGGGGTCTCCAACATGAGTCTCGGCACGCTTGCGTTCGGCACGTGTTTTTACGTGTTTCTGGCCACGACGTGGCCGCAGGCGAGGGACACACTTTAGCCCGCCGGATTCTGTACACTCGACAAGACGTGCGCGGAGGGGGGGACCCAACATGCGCCCGGCGCGTGTGCGCGGGGCACGTATTTTCACGTGTCCACGGCCCCCCGCGAGGGACCCAATTTAGCCCGCCGGGTTCTTTACACGTGAGAATGGGGTGCGGAGGGGGGGACCCAGCATGCGCCTGGCGCGTGCGCGCGGGGCAGGTCTTTTCACGTCTCCTCTGCCGCTATAAAAATACATGCGCGGAGGGGGGTGACCTAACATGCGCCTGGCGCGTGCGTGCGGGGCACCTATGTTCACGTGTCCACGGCTCCATGGGGCGACCCAACTTGGGCGCGGGGGGGACCCAACATGCGCCTAGCGCGCTTGCGCGCGAGCACTGCACCCAGGGGGGGACCCAATTTGGGCGCGTCGTATTCTTTGCACGTGGAAAATAGGTGCGCGGAGGTTGGGGACCCAATATGCGCCTGGCACGTGCGTGCGGGGCACCTATGTTCACGTGTCCACGGCCCCCAGAACATGCAGGAGGTAGTGGTTGCAGCAAAGGGAAAGTGTTGCACGCGCGTCAGACGAAAGTTTGACTCAGATTTCTTACCAGGTTCGTGGATCCCTCATGTTGTCTAGCTCTCTCTATCGCCTTCAACTCTGACCGCGGTTGGCCGTCCATCCGTTCCTCCCGCATGGTTGTGCTGATCGTTCCCGCACGAGTTCCCACGCTGTTTCTCTAACGTGCATTTCCATCCTGGGCCCTCCAGTCGTCTGGAACGGCGCAGCAGCGGGAGTAGCAGCAGCCGCAGGAGGAACTGAAACGGGAGGTGGGGGCACGTTGGAGCCGGATCGGGGAACGATTTCCTGCGCCACGAGGGACCGCGTCCCAGCCAGACGAGCAAGCCTCGGCCGGCGCCCGCTCGCCGCGTCGTCGTCATCGTCGTCGCCGTCGTGGTCTCCGTCCGCTCTCTGGAGGCCCCTCCCCCCCAGAGCGCCAGGAGGTCCTCCCCAGACAGGAGTGGCTCCAATCCCATGTGTTTTACGTATGCTCCTATCGATTGGGCCTCCCCTGGAGCACGATTCCTTGATGTTGTACGTATGTTTCTATAGATGGTCCTTCTCCTGTGTGCACAATGCTACATGTTTTACTTCTGTTCCTATCTATTGG